AAATGTGAGGTTGAAAAGACCAAGCTACACCAAAATACCGGGCTCAGAATACTCCAATCGACACCACAATGAGAAAACCCAAACTCCAACCAAGACACCAAACGGTTGCTCCCTGAGTTTATGCCCACACACAGGATGGTGAAGAGTTAATAACCACAATCTAGCCACAAAAGGCAAAGGAGAGAAAAGGGGAAGTAGCACACAGCCAACTTTGAAGGTAAGAGCACACAGCCAATGAATACCAACGTTTCTCTCTCGAGGTTATCTCCAAGCTCTCACCCTCTATCACAGTAACGGGTATTAGATATATGTAGGATTAGGTTTAGTATTTAGGTTAAAGCCCAATAACACAAGATAAGGCCCAAGTAGGAAATAAGGTGGGCTATTAACATATGGGAGCCTTCCAAAGTTTGGGTCGGTTTAGGGTTGGTTTACCAAATTGTGGTGTCGATGTACTTTCAGTCATTTGGACAATGCCGACTGAATTTAGACAACGTATTTCATCATCGTCCGGGAGGTCGTTTGACAACAATTTGCCTAACACTAAATTTGTATTAACGAAGTTAATATTTCTGTACTGGGTACTTACATTCTTTAAAGTTCAAGTGGCACTAATGACATAAATGCTCAAATATAATGCAGAGGTTCCCTCCGAAAAGCAAAAATGGAGTGAAGAGTTCAATAAAGCAATCAGACATAGAACAAAACCTCGATGGCCTGACTGTTCAAGAGGTAACTCTATTCTGATCTCCATTGTTTTACTCTCTCATCATTCCGTACCAAATTCTAGAGATCTTTTGCTTCAAAATTGTTAAATATGGTTACTAACTTCGAGTTTTGGATGCACTGAATAAGAAATGAATTAAAATTATAGAAGTATTAAATTCGACTTCTTTTTTTTCATGAACAGCAATTCGAATTAACTAGTCATGTAAGATGGATCACTTCGTCCAATGCTTCTTCTTTTTCCATTTTTAGTGATTTTTTTTTGAAAAAGGAAAAACTAAAAGAGGCCAGTGTGGACCATAGTCCTGGGCTGATCCAAACTTGGATCAGATGGGCTGATCCAAAAAGAGGCCCGTATCGAGAAATTCTGTGTTAGTCTCAGAATGTGTGTGTGTGTGTGTGTGATGTGGTTAGAAGAGAAATTCATGAATGGTTAATTTTGTACTATCCCAAAGCTTTCTTGCTTATCAAATTCCTTGTACAGTATCAGTGTTCAAAAGACTTATTTCCATTTTATTTTTATTTTTTTGTATAATTGACACATTCTTTTTACTTGACTTAAACATTGTCAGGCATTGAACCAGCGGCGGATTTTCATCTTAGATCACCATGATTATCTCATGCCATTTTTAACCAGAATAAACACTGAAGGTACGTGTGTTTATGCTTCCCGAACTCTACTATTCTTGAGAAGCGATGACACACTGAAGCCGTTGGCCATAGAACTGAGCTTGCCTAGTTCCTTACCTCCTATGGAGATCAACAGAGTGTTCTGTCCGGCAACTAATGGGACAGAGGCTGCGCTGTGGCAACTTGCAAAAGCTCATGTCTTAGCGAATGACTCCGGTCACCATCAACTAATCAACCATTGGTGAGTTCACAAAATGATTCTAATAATAACTTCTGAACTCTACAAAGAAAAAGCAGTTTTCTTACATAATTTTTCTTTCCAATTTTCTATACTCAACGTTTTTTTAGGTTAAAAACTCATGCAGTAATTGAGCCATTTATCATTGCCACCAGAAGGCATTTGAGTGTGATGCATCCAATTCACCGATTACTTGATCCTCATTTCAAAGACACTATTCAAGTGAATGCATTGGCTCGATCTATGGTCATAAATGCTGGAGGAGTACTCGAAAAGACACTATTTTCTGGTCCTATCTCAATGGAGTTGTCCTCTGCTATGTACAAAAAATGGAGATTTGATGAACAAAGCCTCCCTATGGATTTGATCACAAGGTACAAATTATTTCTTTTTATAATATTCTCTTTCGTGTTGGACTATGTGGAGCGTTAATCACATTGTACCCAACTCAACAACGAATATATGGGGTTCAGGGGTGACCCACTATAGGTCTTGTGCATGCTTTGCTTGTTTTCATATTGATTTTTGTTTATTATTGGTCTTGACGGTTAGGATTATACATAAACCTTTGAAACTTTAATGCAGAAGAATGGCCATATACAATGAAAATCTGCCAGCAGGAGTTCAACTTCTTTTTGAGGATTATCCGTATGGTTCAGATGGACTGGATATTTGGATCGCAATAGAGAATTGGGTGACAGAATTCTGTTCATACTTCTACAAAGATGATGCTTCTGTTAGTTCTGACTATGAGATGCAAAACTGGTGGTCAGAAATCCGAAATGTAGGTCATGGCGATAAACGCAATGAAACGTGGTGGTACTCATTGACAACTCTCAGAGACGTAAAAGAGGTTTTAACAACTCTAATATGGATTGTTTCAGCTTTTCATGCTGCAGTAAATTTTGGACAATATGTATATGCTGGTTATCCACCAAATCGCCCTACGTCCTGTAGAAAGTTTATTCCAGTTGAAGGGACACGCGAGTTTGCTGAATTTCTTAGGGATCCCGACAGGTTTTATTTCCATACCTTACCTACAAGATCTGAGATGACTCTTAGCATAGCCTTGGTCGAGGTTCTGTCAAGGCACATGTCTGATGAAGCGAACTTAGGTCAAGAGCTGTCACCGAAGTGGATAGATGATCAAAGGATTCATCGGAGCTTCAAGAAGTTTGCTGATGAACTTCGAGATGTGGAGAAAAAGATCAGAAAGAGAAACGGAGATCCAAACCTTAAGAACAGACGAGGACCTGCTAACATTGAATATGAGCTTTTATATCCTGGTACATCATCAAATAAGGAATCACATGAAGGCATCACAGGAAGAGGAATCCCTAATAGTATATCTGTATAAAATCTTAGATGTTTGTATGTATCACTCTCTATATGTAGAATATTGATTCATGAACAGGTTGAATATGAACTCGTTTTATTCAATTGACCAAAGCCAAGAGATATGCAAATATTCTCTCTCCTCATGTCTATCACTATTACTTACCACGCCACAGTAAAGTATACGAGGAGAAAAAACCAAGAAACCTTAAAAAATATTTACTAATTAAGGAAAATGAATCATAATTGCCAGGTGCAATATCCAGCTCCTTCACTCAACCTTTTGGATCATTCTTTGCCAATAATTTTTAGCTATTATTATCCTTTCTTTAGTGCAAATATACTACGTGTTAGGGGTACGTATGGTCCGGTTATAATGAGAATTCTACATGTGGAGTCGAACCTGACCAGGTTTTGGGAGGGAGAAGAGTATCAGATTCTTCTAACGGATTTTATTCTGGTTAAAGGACACAGCATTTTGTAAATTCTGTTAGACTTGCGTCCATAAATGCTTTTTATATCAATAGATTTTTTAAAAAGTGAAAAAGTCCATTAAAAAAAAAAAACAAAGAAGTATTCGAACATATATGGCAGCATTAAATACAGCAGTAGAGTGGCTCAGACCCCTTGTAAAAACTAACAGCCTTTTGGGAGCGATTAATTCCACACTTTAATAAAAAATATAAACGTTGCAACAGTTCGGTTAACGGTGATCCAACCGCAATATTTGAAAAAAAAAAATGGCAGCCGTCTTTTTCTATTTTGAAATGTCAAAATTGTCATGCTTATGAATATTGAATGCAACAAGTTAGGGACACCTTGGTCTTTTCATCAAAAAAATTAATTGACTGCAGATAAAACAGTCAAACATGGCTGCCAAAGTGGGGCCCGTGACTGTATAACGGTCGAATTCTTAATTATAATTTTGGAAGAAGGGGGTCCAAACAGAGGCTAAGTCATGAGACTGCTGTATCATTTGGAAGTTAGGGAATGACACTTTCAAGGTACTAATTATAATCACTTATTTTCAAGAAAATTATCACTTTTTCCGACCACCTTTTAATATCTTGATTGATTTTTCAGGTTTATAGAATGGGGGACTTGTTGCTGCAGTGGAGAAAATGGCGAACACTTCAAAATGAAAAGAGAAATTGGTGTGGAAAACCATTTGATTATTGAATGCGAAGATACAAGATCTAAGCATGCTGTTAGGACAAAGTCTTGCAGGGCTCTTGCTCAATCTCCATCTACCGTAGTATTGTATTCTGGGTAATATTATTTCTCTGTGAATCTTCATGTAAATGCACAAGTTTCTTAATATACCATGATTTTTGGGCATAATTTTGTTACAAAACCAAGAAATTTTTCTAACATCTGAGGTTTAAGTCATAATCAGGATTGATGGCGAGGTAGTGATATTGAAACAACCAAAATGGCTAACACTAGCAAATGCCTCCATTTCGAATAGTTTACCCGTGAGTATCTAGCTTCTCATTTCTCGCTCAACTGTTAAAGATCAACTCAACACGGCTCTGAATCTGCGTGCTTCGCTTGCTTTTCGTTTCTTTTATTGCCATGCGAAATAGGGAATAGGGCTAATTACTTAAATGGTTACTGAACTTTATCAAATGTTACTACTTAGCCCCTGTTTGTCTACCATTGTTCAAAAAAATTATTTGCTACAGTAATATTTTTCACCACACATCTACCAAATAAAATATTCTACACACAAACCAATAAAGTCACTTTAATTTTCAACTACACATTCTCCAAAAAATACTATTTATCACTCTATTTTTCTCCCAATAATGGAAGACAAACACACTCTTAATAACTGAATTTAGAAATGTATCTTAACGATCACTGAACTCATCACTCAAGTGAAAAAAATCCGTTAGGCTCAACAAATTGCATCGATTTGAGTGATAGATAGGTAGCACGATATATAGTTCAGTGATTATTGGAATACATTTTTAAGTTCAATTATTAAACAGTAGCACTTGACATAATTCAGTGACTATTGAAATATATTTTTAAATTCAATTATGAAGTCCCTCAAATCGACATCTATGACAGAAAAAATCAAAAAAAAAAAAAAATGAAAGGAAAAAAGAGGAAATAGAAAATCAGAAACCTATAAATCAAATAAAAATGGAACTTCTGCTAATGTCATTCTAAAATAAATGGATGACATTAATTTTTAACTGAAAATTTTTCTGTCCAAATAGAAGACATAAAATACTAAATTGGCTCTGAATGATTTGTGGAGTCATTAAATCCCCGACTAGCATATCCTCTTCATCAACATCTGCCCAAAAGTACATTTGATTTTTGGATTAACTGGTATCAGTTCACCGTATCTTGAACTTCACATAAAAAGATTGAAAGAGAGACGGTAGGGACATTGAAAGAAATTAATAGAGAAAAATTACATGAAAGTACAAAAATATTCAAATTAGTGCCAAGGTAATTGAGGTCGATTGTATTTTTCATCTTTTTTCCCTTTATTTTCTTTAGTTTCTTCTATCATAGAGGTCGATTTGATGGGGAAAAAATTGTTACTACTAATAACTGAACTTAAAAATGCATCTCAATGGTCATTGAACCATGCACCATGTTACCCATTTATTACTCAAGTCGACGACATTTGTTGAACCTAAAGAATTTTTCCATTTGAATGATAGACGTGTAACACGATGCATAATTCAATAATCATTGGTATCCATTATTAAGTTCGGTTATGAAGTATTAATACGGCGAAGTTCAGTAATCATTGAGATGTATTTTTTAGTTCAGTTATTAAGTAGTAACACTTGACAAAGTTCAACAACCATTCAAGTAATTAAACAAGGGATTAAGACTTTTGAGATATATTTTACGAAGTTGTGGCAATTCATTGATTGGCATTAACCCTGGGTCATTGTTCTCGAGCAATGATTTAATCATTTCTAGTTGAGCGCGATTGCGGGCTTTCTAAAATTTTCAAAAGAAAAACAGAAGTTGAACCATTGTGCCATTACACATAGATTGTAGACTTCGAGACTTTACCAGATTGTCTGTTTGATGACATGCCTTCATGAAGCAACAGTACTGAAAATCTGCAGAAAATTTTACAATAGTAGTTTTATTTGGGTAAGGAATTTTGGGTTGAAACATTTTTTTCCCCACAAATTATTATCTTGTGAATTCGAATCAGTATGCTTGCTTCGATTGCAGGAACCTATTGGAACCCAAGTTCAAATTCCAGCTGCTGGTGGTTTGATTGAGCTCTTCAGTACAAATCACGCAAGTTGAAATTTGAAATTGAAAGGGATGCAAAATGCCGATGAGAATGCTAATTTGAAGGATAGGCAGAGGGGGGAAATGGAGCATTACCAATCAAAGCTTATCCCGGAGGTCAGAGAGAAACCGGAGGAAGAGGATAAAAGACGGGCTCTTCGTCCTTAGCTCATTAGTTCCAACGATTTCTAAGGTTTATACAGCATGTCTATCTAAACTTAAAAGCTACTTTTCTAAATAAGTTGTCTAGATACTTTTGAGAAAACTATTCTTTAAGTTACTTGTAAACTAACCTCAGCCAATCATTCTCTGAATAAGATCGGTTCATGATCATGTGATCTTTTTTTATCAGATAGGAAGGTATGTAGCACAAAATGTTAGCTCGGAATTGTTTACCCTCATTATTCGTGTCATTTTCTTTGCTACCAGATGGATAGAGCTTCTATATTGGGGGATGCAATTCGATACATGAAGGAGCTTAAGAGAAATGGCAGAGGACTGCAATAAAAACATTGCTAAAATGGAGTCTCCAAGCTCGACCAAGGAGCGTGCAGGCGAAGAGTATTTACCGGCTGCAGTGCTAATGACAAGAACAAGCACAGGTAAGGAGAGCGTCGATCATCTTACAGTCTTCAGTTAAGATTCTTTTTTGCATAATTTCTACTTATTTTTATGTTCACCAACTTTTTGGGTTGAAGTTGAAGTAAACCAGTATTAAAAACTCAGAGTTTGTATTAAGAAAGAGAGAAATAATCGTATGAATACAATGGTGTCACAAAATACTAGTTACTTCAGTATTTACTTCCTTAATCCAGGTTTTTGGTCTTTTAACACGTCCTTCACGTGCAGGTGAAGGAAGATCATCTTATAAACTTCAACTGCCCGAAGTATCAAACAATATTTATTTGTGTGTGGGTGTTGGGGG